TAGTTAGCGGCTCTCCTATTGTAATCCCAGATCACAAAGAGCGGGGAGGGGGGGCGTTGGAGCCCGGCATTTCTCCGCAGCCCCTGCGTTACCTAATTAGGCTATGGCCGAGGCTAAAAATGTCCCCGGCTCCTGGCAGCAGCGTAGGGTCCTTTAGAGTCCTTTATATAGCCCTTATCTGTATGTCACTTGAAATTAACCTGGCCTACCTCCTCCCACATCACCCCGGCCTGTCTCCTCCTCCCGCATCGCCCCTCCGAGCACAGGCGCCATCTCGGCCTCCACCTCTGCTGCCTCAGCCGGTCTCCGCGGAGCCGGGGCCTGGCTGCGGACCCACCCGTCCCAATGCCCGGCCACGATTCCCCAGGAGAGGAGGGCAGGCCCGGGCCCTCCTGTGGATGCCGCCCGGCCCAGGGGGTCGCCCCATGGCAGGCGTTGCAGCTGTCAGAGGGGTTCTGAGGAGCCTGCGTGGGGCTCTGTCACCTGGCGCGTCCAGCGGGAAGCTTAGCAGGCCAGGCTGGGGGGGCCGGACAGCTGCCCAGGGAACGCAGAGGGGCCCGGCTGGGTGGCACTGCTCAGGGGACACTCATCACCGCACGGGGGCTACCAGGGACCTCAAAGGCTGCTCAGACCCAGGGAACTTAGCAGCAACCAGCTCTAGAGGCACAGAGAGGGAAAGGGCCACTTACGTGATGAGCATGGACTGGTTCTCGCGGTCTGGAAGAGAAGGAGCAAACGTCCAGCTGAAACCCACCAGCCCAGAAGGAGACAAGTATTGCCCAGAGCCTGCCCTGAACAAGATCCCACCGCTCACACTTAGCACAGCTCAGGCACCTTCACAGCACGTTTCACCCTATCCCGCTTGGGAATTTCAGTCTCATGGAGGGAGCCTCACAGACCATCCCTCTGTCCCCACCTGCCAAGATTCTGCAGCAGGGAAAGCACCAGCCGCTTCTTCCCTTCGGAGGCTGCTCTGCTGGCTAAGGGGCTGGATCCTATCCCCTGCCTTGGCTGTGACACAGTGCAACTGGCCCGCATGGACACTGGCCCTCTGTCTTTTCCGGACGTGGAATGCCCTCTGCATCTTTTGGGGTTACAATGTTTTTCTGGAGCTGATGAAGAGCTGACCAAGCTCTGACCCAAATCCACGTCCTGAAGGTCCCAGGCTGACCCTAGAGTCAGCTCCTACCCCCTCACAGCTGGTTTTGGGGGCTGGTGGGAGGGTGGGGAACTCACTGCGCAGCATGTCGTTGTAGGCATTGTCCGCGATGGAGTAGATGTGCGGGGGGGCCTCGGACCTCCGCTTGCCCTTGTAGGCTGCCACCACGGGAGCCGTGTAGACAGGAAGCCACTTGTATGGGTTGATGGTGACACAGAACAGGCCAGAATAGGTCTGAAGGCAGAAAGAAGACAACTGAAGGACACCTGGAGCCACGTGCACAGCCCTGGCGAGGCCCAGGATGTCCACCCTGCCCCTGAGGAGGCTCCCCCCGTCCCTCGTGGAGAGATCCTTGCACCAGGGGGCCGGCCATGGGTCGGGGGTGCCATGGGGCTGGCGCAGACACTCTGCCAGGCTGGTCCCCAAGCGCCTCTCCACATCCCCTGCCTCACGTGCCCCAGCGTGGGTGGCTTACATAGATCATCCAGTGGGAGTAGCGGCGCTTCAGGTTGTACAGCACGGAGGCCTCGTTGAGGTGGGTCAGCATGGCCATGTCTTCGATCATGTCGAACTTGGGGGGGTTCATCTGCTGCAGCTCGTCCTCCTTGACGACCCGCGTCTGCAAGAGGAGGGAGAGAAGAGCATCAGCCTGATAACATGTAATGCGGCACCGTCTTCTGCTCGGGGAGATTTCTGGTTCCTTTGGCAAACAGCTGAAGTGTGTACCCCATCACTTACAACTGGATTTATTTAATCCTGTAAATCCATGTGCTGGCAAACTATCACATTACATATCTGGCCTGAATGGAAGAAACTCAATTTAGCAAATGGTCCTGTTAATATAGCGTAAGTAAAACCCTTCAAAGAGATTTTTTTTTTAACATGTGAATATTAAGTCCATGGTGATTTAGATGTTAAATGCAGGAAAGTGGAAGGAGGAATAAAGGCGAGGTTATTTTTGCTGAAACTGCTTTGATTGAAAATGCTAATCTGATGAAAGTAGGTGTAGTTTAATATTTTGCAAATCCATGACATTTTGAAAAAACAGCTTCATGGGGGAGCAGCAGAAAAGGTTAGATAACTGTTTTCATCTGCAGAAGCCAAAGAATAGATTTTTAATCCCAGCATCTTAAAAAAATCAACGTAAACTTTACAAACTGACAAATTTGACAAATTTGATTTTGGGGAGTCAAAAAAGTTTCTAATTTTTGTCCCAATTTCAGAACAAAGTATTTTCAAAACTTGACATTTTTTCATAGAAAATTATGTACATTTCCCTTAGTTTAGGCAAGTAGGGGGCGGGAAATGCTCATTGTCTGCTCAGGACTTCATTCTGTTTTCCAGTTTTACACCCTCATAAGCCTCTGTTGCTGCAATAGCCTTCCCCAGGTGTGCAACTCCCCGAGCCGAGAAATAAATACGGGTTAAGCTCATTTGTGGTTATTTGGACCAGGCATTACCTTGACAAATACCAGTTGACCATTGCTTCTTGATCACTGCTGGAAAGCTGGAGTAACACCACGAAACACAACTGGTGTCGCATCCAGCCACCCTGTTCTTTAATTCTGCTCACTTTGGGAAGTTATTCCTGGCTGGGGCAATGAGAACAGCCAGCAGACCAAAAGAGGGAGAGCAGAGCTCGGCATCTGGCCCAAGGCACGTAAAAACACATTTATATTTGCCAAAGAACAAGTCCTTACTCATCCTGGTGCTCGCAGAGAACGGCACATTCACACTTTGCTCGGAAACCTGCTTTCCAAAGAGCACTGCTCTGCCTTACGCTGGTGCAAACGCCGGCTGCGAGGAGCAGGATTTGGCCCCTCACCTTTTGCATCGCAAAGGGCTGCTCCGGAGCGTGCGTGTCCTTCGCCAGCCCATCCATAGCGGGGAGCACGGCTGGGACTTGCGCTGGGGAAGCCCGGCCACCCTCTCCGATCCCTCTCGCGGGGTGGAGGGGTTTGGAAAGCAAACATCTGCTGGGGGCACGCGGAAGCGTTGACACGCTTGGAGAGAAAGTTGTCTGCGTGTCCTGGCACACCACAGTGTGACAAGCAGCACGGTGCCCCGCGGGGACGAGCGGCTGCGGAGCGGGCAAGTGTTATCAGGAAGAACTCAGCTAGCTGCAGACACGATCTCCTCTCACATATCCCCCTCGGCACACATTCTTACCAGTCTTTGAGAAAGGGAAGACTTTGCTTACTTGCTTGTCTTTGGTTTCCACAGTGACTTTGCCACCAGAAACTTCCTTGATTTCTACTTCAATGTAAGCGTCTTTCTCATCCGGGATCCACGCTCGCTTCTTTCCTTAAGGAGGAGAGGAAAAAAAAAAAAAAGAAGGGAAAGGGGAAAATATCATATTGAAATGGAGGAAACCATTTGTCAAATCAAGGCCACACAGATGCAGTCTGATTACATGGGAGGACAATCATAATTCTTTCCTATCTCTTGGTCAGAGGAACTGGGATTTCTCTGTTCTTTCATGTTTGTCAGTCGTTTAATTTGCCAAAGTCAACCTTTACATTGGCAGACATCTGCTGCTCAATGTATGCCTGCATTCGGAACGTCACGAAGGAAAACACGGTTTAGAGGAAGCAAGCCCCTTATCTCTTAAGTTGCTCCTCATTTGCTGTGTTGAGATAGGTGCAACACAGAGTATGTGCTTGTCGACAGAGCCCAGTAACACTCTGGGCAGCAGGAAAACCAGCCACAACAGAGCGGGGAGGCTGGGACGGAGCAGGAGGGCTGCAGGGCGAGCTCTGGACACCTCCAAAGGGAGATGGAGATGGAGACGACTTCACCATGGTACTACGTGTTCAGCCTCCATTCTCCTGGCCACCACGGGGACTGGGGAAGGTAACAGGCCACCTTCCCTTTGCACCTCAACAGAACAGGGGGAATAGTCAAACCCCTGCTTTTCCTATTTCTGAGATCTTCTTGTTCTCCAGGGTGGTGGGGGCAGTTCCCGCATCACGAGCCCTGTTGGGCTCAGCCACGCTGGTTAGGGGACAGGGAGAGCCACGGCCAAGGGCTCCCTTGGAGGCTGTGCTCGCTGGGCTGCAGCCTCCTCAGCGCTTACCATCAAACGGGATCGTCTGGAGCTTCAGCTGCTCCGTGTAGCTTTTCCGGAGGTACTCAGCAGCCTCCCCAAACTCGCTCATGTCTAACATGGACATCTTGCCGGGCTGGAGGGCGAAGGCTTGTCAGCAGCAAAGGAAGAGTGAAAGGCACCTGAATGCTGAAAGGAGGGAAAGGAGAAGGAGTGAGCGCAGAGAAAGCACCCAGCAGTGGGCTGCCACCTAAGAGAAATGCAGTAGCCAAACACGCTTTTAATTTCAGAGAGCAAGAGAAGACAGCGACAACAATACCGGCTAATAATAACCATAATAAAATGCAATTACGGATATGCCCTGGGCTGCCAATCCCAGCTGCATGCCCTGTATCGCTCTAGCGTTGAAATCTATGTTCACATTTTGGAGGTCAACAGAGTGCCCTTTTCTTTATAAACTTAGCTAGAAACTGTTGCAAGTTGGCAACCCTGCTGGAGCAGCAGCACCCTGCGCAAAACCCGGGTGAAGACCCGGGTCCTCATTCCAGAGCAGTGGTGCAGAACAACAAAAGCGAGGGTGGAAGCACTAAGCCTTGAAAAATCCCTTCCAGAGGGACAGCTGCTCGGAAAGGCGTTTTTATGACATTGCTTCCTCTTATCCATCTCACGCGAGAGCACACAGCAAAATGCCGAAGCGCCGCAGCTACCGCGACCGTTGTGACCCCCTTGCCAAAACGCACCGACCACAAGAAAAATGCCCTCAAATGGGTCTGTGCTGCCCTCCCCTGTGCCGCCATGCCGGCCCGAGCGCCCCTGCCCGCTGGGAACGGCCGCCCAGTCAAGGCGAAGCGGGTTAGCAGCGCCCGCGAGCGCGCGCAGACATGCTCCTTGCTACCAACCTCGGCGGTAGGGCTGAGTGGCTGAGTGCGCGCCGCAAAGCCCCTTTTTATTGTGTCTGTCAAGGTCAGAGTGGGAAAAGATATGTCAGAAATTCCCATGTGTCATGTCCCCACAGCTCCATTGGTGCTGCTGTCCCACTGCCCGGAGAGACACAAAAGGCAAACTTCGCTTTTATCTCTCGGCAAAGGCAGCCTGGTTATTTTTACTCCCGTATTGTCAGGCGAGTACAAAGGCAGAGCGAGAGACTCGGCAGCTCTGCGAGGCTGCCTGCGCCCGCCTGCTCGCAGGGGAGCGGGGCACAAGAGCTCGGCTGCTGCTTCTCCTGCTTCTCCTGCTCCTCTCCTCACCACCCTGCCTGGGAACCACTGCCTGGCCAGCCCCTGTGAACCACAGATCCGTCCCAACCTGTCCCCCGGCTCAGCTTCGGCCCCTCCATGACCGCGCTCCCCAGGCCAAGCAGGAGGATCCCCGGGTTCAGCCTCTGCTACCGCATGACCTTCCCCTCCAAGGGCTCTCCTGCTTCACCGAGGGATATCAGCCGCATCCCGCATTTAACAGCAGATTTCACTCACACTACAGTTTGATTTTCTGGTTAGAAGCAAACGCAACTCAACAGTTTTCTAAGAGGGGCTCAGCCGCAGGGCCAGGGCAGCTCCCAGCTCTGCTCCAGTGCCCAAGCTCTATGTTGGCCTCAGCTCACAGCAAAACCAGCCCAGCTGTAAGCCCTGATCCTACACCGTGATGTCCTTTCCAATATGAGAAGTGCCCAAGGGCCGTCTCTGCCACGTTCAGGGAGGAGTAATTTTAGTTGCTGGCATCCTCACCCCCCAGGCACAGTGCTCATCTTCCCTGGTGCGGAGGGCATGATCCCATGGTGCGGACAAGGTGGCTTGGAGCCCATTAGGATAAAGCACGATATAAGCCCATATCTCCACGTCCTGCGGGGCACTCTCCCACCAGGCTGGAGGTCAACCGTTGAGTGTCTTCATCCAGATCTGGAAAGAGCCTTGGTTCATGGTGCAGAGCAGGACACTGTGGGCACAGGCACACGTGTCTGCTGATCCTCTTGGGGAGACACCAGGGATGCAGGCACTGAGACCTACTTGTCCATGACATCCAAGAGGCAAAGAGTGTTCAACTATGCCAAGATGGCAGTGGAGAGAGCCAGCAGAAGAAGGGTAGCGTCCTGAAGAACGCCGTGGTGCACACAAGCCTTGGTTGACCGCGGTTCCTCTGAGGTTAGCCCAGGGGTCTCCTGCCTCACTGTCATGAGCTCGGAGTCAGATTTCCACCCACGTCCTGGCGGGGCCTAAGGCCTTTGGCGGGTCCGGTGCCAAGTACCTCTGCCACGAGTGCCCCAGCAGTGGGATGAGCTCTCAGCCCAGGCCCACCAGCTGGCCCAGCCTCACACATTCTTCTCAGGGCATGTACCCGCCCTGTGCCCTGCTCACCCCCTCCCCTGCCTTATCTTTAAAGCAATTTTATTTTCGGAGATTCCTTCTACTGTTCCTTCTGTTAGTCGTAGTTTCTTTCCCTCTTTGAAGATGTTCCAGCAGGGTCCATCAAAGGCCAAGCAGATCTATAGAAAGGGAAATGTGGAATGGTCACTCCAGCAGCTGCTAAAATGTACTTCCTTTGGGTTTGGGCATTTCTAAGCTGGAGGTTGTGATGTGGTTTTCAGTACAGTAGGAAGCTCATCCTCATATTCCTGGTAAGGCCCATGCTCTGCTCTGGTCAGACAGGTGTAACGTGGGCATCCTGAGTGGGGCAGCTATGGAAGGACGTTTGTATGAAGCTCCTAGGAAACCCACAGGCATAACCAAGAGCCTATGACCTCCAGCGTGAGCAGAGAAGAGCTTACTTTGGGCGGCTGGTCCCTGAAGCAAGCAGTTTGCCTGAATGTTACACCTGCCCTGTGTGACCATCCCAGCTGAGGAAACATCTCCCTTGGCCCTTGCTGGGCCATTTGTCCCTCTACAACTCTGTGCTTGACCCATAGGGATCCCATGGCAGGATGGAAGAGGAAGGAGCTCCTGTATTTTGCCCTTGAGGACAGCAGAAGCTTTGGTCAATGGAATATGACACCACCAGCACTAGGCTACAAAGCTGCCCCTTCACTGAGCAGCATTTTGCAGCTGGATCAGCTCCTACCCAATCCCAGCAGAACCAGAAGGTTGTCCAGAGCCCAGGCAGCCTCTCCAGCCTCTCCAGGCTGCTCCCTGACCCCACAGGAGGAATGTTTCCCATTAGCAGGTTCTGATAAGTGGCAAGAAGAAGAATTACTCTACGTGTCAGACAGTTTGCTAGAGGTTTCTACACTTAACATATCAACACTATCAGCTTCCTGAAATGCGCTGGAGGGGACTGTGAAGGCTCTGATTAGATAGAGACAATCTGCAAAGGGGCTATTTCAGGCATATTTCCATCGAGCGAGAATGTCTACTTACAGGGAGACAGGCGAGGGTGACAGGCCAGGCTCACGACGTCCCTCTGGCTCAGCCTGGCCACACAAGCCTGTGGATGCAAGGCTCCCTCCAAACACCAAAATCCAGGATGTGTTTTCTAGGAAGCACTTTTTTTCCCCAAAAAAGCGATCCTCCCTTCTCGGACTGGGGCAGAGTCTAGGCTACAGTTTGCACCAGGGACTGTTTCTAAGTTGTCTTCCTTTCCCACAGCCACATCCCACCAGAGGGAGAGAGAACAATCCCAATCCCAGCTCTGCTGTTAATGCATCCCTCAACACAAGCAGAATTATTCTTGAATTTACAGGCAGAAGAGTCAGGCCTGGCTCTGGTTAGAGAGGAGAAGAGGTGATGGTCTTGGTGGGATGGTGTCAGCTTCAGAGGAGGTCTATGAGACTTTTTCTCGTGCCTGGCAAGAAGCGGCTCAAGGAGAGGAATGGAGCCTTGGCACAGCTGCAGGGAGCCAAAAGAGGCACCCGCAGGGTTCAAGATGGGGCAAAGAACTGAATCTGTTCATCTCAGCGCTCCCTAGGCCCTTCCAGCTGCCTGGACACACTGGGACACTGGGAATATGCTCTCACCCATCCTGAACTGGCTGCCCTTTGGATGGGTGCGCCCATGGATGAGGTGCTGCCTTTATAAACCCTCGGTGAAGTACAGGAACTTGCTGCTGCTGTGAGAACCTCTGCGCTGCGGAAGCAGCTCAATATGGCACGAGGCTTGCAGAGCACGAGGGTGCTGAGCACTGAGCTCTCGGCACCGCAGGGGCACTGCAACATGCACCTGCGGGCAGGCGAGAAGGAGAGAGCCCCCACGTGAGTATCAGAGCCAGCAAGACAACCTGGAGACTAGGAAAAGTGCGGAGTTTTTGTGTGTTCATTTGGAATTCACCAGCTTTGGGTGATGTTTCTTCTTCTGAGAGACTGGCACTGAAGAGATCCAGGTTGCATTTAAGAAGGAAGGTTGTACCAAACACTGCAAAAATCATTCTGCTCATCAGAGGAATGTGTTAGCTGACCCCAGCCAAGAGGCTTGAGGTTTTGGCAACGTGTTTCAAAAAGAGATGAGAGAAAAGACACCCCTGGCCATTCACTTGAACACTTAACAGCACCTTGACTGCAGCCGGCTTGCTGGGACAGGCCCCTGCACACAGCAACAGGGCAGAAGAAACCTTGAAAAAGGTACAGGGAATGAATGGCAAGAGACTGGCTGGCAGCTGTAAGGCAGGGCTGGTTCCTTTGACCCCAGGTCCTTTCCAGTGCTTTAGTGAAGCAGTTCTGTTTCCAGCCAGGAAGGGAATTCCCTTTTGTCTGAAGGGAATTCTTGCAGCAAGGAAATAAAACAAGAGGGTTCCCACAGAGGAGGGGTGCAAGGGGCAACAGCAGTTGGTGTATGTTGGTTTGAGTGCAAGATCAGCATCCAGCATGGAGAGGACCACGGGGGTAACTGAGCATGGAGGGGGCAAATAACTGCTCGGGAGGCAGGTGTTGGCCCAAGCCCAGAAAGACCAAACCCAGAGCTGCCTTGGAGCACCAAGAGCTGTGGCACTCGCGTGCCAAGGCTTGACAGGAGCTTCTGATGCCTCTCCGAAGGGTAACTCCGTCAGCAGCTGGGCCTCCGCAGGACACCGCTTCCCCGCAGGGCCTGCAACGGGGCAGAGCACCAGGAGAGCCATGATCACATTCCCAAAACTTGTGGAGACAGAGGCTGCCGGGGCACAGATAGCCACGCACGGGATGCCTCAGCCCAGAGACTCCGCCAGCTCTTTGCAGATAGCACTTTCCAGGGGCAGCGGAGGGTAACAATGATTGGAAATCAAGACCCAATGCAGCTGTGAGGCTGTGAGGGAGGCACAGAGCTCAGATCAGAACTGGCACCAGGCCATGGTTCTGCAAGTCCATACTTGGGATCTGTCATTCTTGGAGCAACCTAATGGGTTCTGGTTTCCCAGCAGTTTCCATGTGCTTTGGGATTTGGGAGCAAGAGGGAAGGGGCTGCTCCACCTCTCTGGCTCCACAAGGCCATGTAGGGAGTGTTTCCTTCCTGTTCTGACCCAGCTCCTCTGCACTGTGGCCCTGCAGATACATTATCACAGTGAACAACCCAGCTGCTCACAGAGCTTCAGCCCCATCACAGCCCCCTGCTCTCTCCACTCCTCACACACCTTTCCCTGGCTCCATGGAAACCTACATTAGGAATGTGTGGAGAAGATAAGCTGATGAGAAGTGGCATCACTGGGACTTGCTGCTTGGTTCAGCACTTGCTGCCTTGGCAGAAGCCATGGCTCTGCTCTCCTGGCCCATCTAACCAGCTTTCTGCTTGTTGTTGGCTTGTTGTTCTGCTTGTTGTTGGAGGGTTGCTTGCCCTCCCTGTGCCGCTGGGTCACCCAAGATCCCTATTTGATCAAACTCAGTTTATCTAGTGACAAGGGACAATTGTTCAAGGTGCAGTGACAACAAATACAAGAAGCTTCTCACAGTACCCATAGGCTTGGGCCCTGCTCAAAGCTGGCTGCACCTGGGAGGTTCATGCTGCTCCAGCTTT